TATGTATCTGTTGCTTATGTATTGTAAAGGTCGTAACCGTTCCAGGCAACATTCCCTAATGTTTTGAACGATTTCCCGAGTGAAGCGGGAACTGCGAGACATGTGGGGAGCAATCACCATAACACCAAGATGCATATTGGTGTCAGTTTTTGCAATAACTTGTCCACCTAATCTTGGAATGTATGACAGTTTATGAGATCTGGAAATATCCTTAGTCTTGATGGGGTTGAGTATGAGTCCAAGGGAAGTGCATTTTTTACTTAATCTCTGACGAACAAAAACCTGAATGAGAATGTCATCAGCATAGGATGTGATGCTGCATAGGTCTCCTAACTCACTATTAAGCTTGCAAAGAGAATGCATAAGGTTGTTAAATAGTGAAGAGGACAAAGCTCCTTGTGGAGTTCCTAACTCGAGCACACCATAATTACCGTAGGTACCTTGGTATCATTCGTTTGCTCTTCTCAAAGACAGACAGACAGACACAGAGAGTGAGAGAGAGAGAGAGAGGGGAGCGAGCAGAAGGAAAAAGAGATTGAGCGAGAGTGAGAGAGAGGTGTGGTGGAGAGATTTAGAGTGACAATGAATTAAGGAGAAAGACTCAAAACAGAAAGGAAATCTTGTGTATTCTAAAATAAAATTTAAAATGAGGCTTATTCTACATTTATTTTTTCGTTTCTATAATCGATTCTGATATCGACTGCATTTCTAGCAAGCATCTCTTATCAATGAGTAGAAAGAATTAGGAACAGTTTATTTCAGACATAATTTGGTTTTTTTTACGTTCTATTCTTGATTTCAGTGCCATCATCATACATTTCTTAGCAATGCACAGTACTAACATTTGTTGATGTAATCCTAATGTTATAAAATAATTCTCATTGTTTTCATTTTTACTCCATTGTCCCTAAAAATATCTTGTTATTTTTAAAAATATATGCATTGTCATATCAAAGCTTCATTTCAGTGTTTCTTCAAACAGACTAAGATATCCTTTTAGTTTGTTCATATTTGTATATGAAATAAAATAAGATGTAAAAAAGAAAAAATCAGTAAAATAAGTTTTGCCCCAAGTAAGTTTGCTTGTTTTTTATTTGGTCCTATATCGAGGTAGATGTAGGGAACATATTCCCAGAGGAACATGCTTACCAAGCTGCGGGATGATGTAGTAGGATAGCCACCTCCTTTACACACAGACTTGGACCTCAACATGCTGAAAAACATGCACACGCACACGCACACGCACACGGACACACACGCACACGCACACTCACACTCACACTCACACTCACACTCACACTCACACTCACACTCAGCACACACACATAAAAAAGTACAATGTTAATACTCACTCACAGTTGGGCTGATCAATAAGTAATAATAATAAAAGTAATAATAATAATAATTCCTTTCATCTCTTGTTTCTGTTATGGCAAAATGTGTACATATTCCTAAATAGTTAAGCTGTTTAGTATCTTAAAACAATTTACAATTTTGTCATGTACTGTGCTACGTCTCCTTGGGAAGCATTCAGTATATAATTCTCTCATCTAACTATTAAGTCATGTACCAACATATGTACAAAAGGGAAAAGGAAACACAAAATTATAATTTCTTTTACTGGTAAAGCTGCACAAACACAGAAGTAAAGTTGACTTGAACAAAGTCATCAGCTTCATTTTCAAACTTTATAGGTAATTTAGCCTTGGAAAACACTGTACCAATGAGCAATGATTGGACCACCTAAGTTAAAACATTTGCAAGCTTACTGAAGACTGGCATACGAAGAGCTTTTTTTAACTGTTGTTTGATAAAGCACAGTCTAAATGGCATGTTTATTTTACGGATCAGAATAGGCTTACATCTTGTCTCCATTTCAGTTCTCAATTCAATCATAAAAAATAGTGGGTAAACTATGTAGTTTTTCTAGAACAATTTAAGAATAACATTGCATCTCGGAGATAATAAGAAGTTAATTATGTCTACAATCAGAGATACATATAAAAATGTAAGTGAAAAAATAATAATCATGCTTTGCACATAGTAAGACAAAGGTCATGCAAACTCATCCAATATTTTCAAATCTACCAGTAAATGGGTTTACATATTAAGAATATTTCTTATTAAATGTAACATAAAGAAATCATGGATACCTTTTGTCATTAAGTGAATTCAATTGGATCTCATTCTTAAATCTATATATCCTATTGCTATCAGTCTTTCTATACTGTTTGGAGTATTACTAGGGACACTTCCTTTTCCTTATTCACTTTTACCAAAAACCTAAATCTCCTTTTGAAATCTTAGATGACTTGATATAGCACTAATAGTTATCTGTTAAAACTGACTATTATAGCAGTGGATTCTTATATAACACATGTTGCTTGATTTTAACCGCGATACAAAAACTATCTCAGACACATGATTCTGAGAAATTACCTTACGTCTAACATCAATGGCAGGAAACAAGCTGAAAAAATCCCATTGAGAACCTTTCTTGTTTACCTTTTAATCAATATAAACAATATATTTAGTGTCTGTATTACTTGCAGCAAACCAATGCAAAATATGGACACCAAGATTTACAAACATTTTTAAAACTTTTATATTTATGATGCACTAAAAAATACATAATATAAAGTATAAATTATGCACTCAAGTAAATTGATACCTATCATTCCTTATGCAAGTTGTTATAGTTACATGTAATAAAAGACAGCTCTTTTCATCTCATAATATCTAAACTCTGACATTTTTGGAAAAATATTCTGATTCATAGCTTCCTACCTGGAGAAAATAAGAAAATAGCAATAACTGTGAAATACTTTTTCTTTTCTTTTCCTATTATTACACTGTCAAAATTTTATAGTGTACATGTAAAATCTTCCAATCTGCCTAAAAAAGGCAGCTAAAATTGTGATAACAATAAAATAATTTTCAGTTATAAATAATCTTAGTAAAAACACTTAAGCAGGTACAATGCTATAAGGTCAAAAGAATGTAACATTGGGTTTGGGTAAATTATAAAGATTCAGTTTTCACTTTGGTGTGTTGGGACAAAAATGTGTTTCAGGTTTCAGACTTGAAGCTGTATCAGGAGATTAAAATTTTGAACATACAGCATCCTTCCAAATTCTCATTATATAGACTCAGTTATCAAAGTTTGTATCGTTTTGCTTAAAGGGCTGAAAGTAAAAGAGATAGAGAAAAATTTCAAGGCATCTGTTAAGGAAACCTCAAACACATATTTGTACAGCTCTGTAGTCTAAAATAAGTCAACACATCAACAAAAAGGTAGTAAGAATACTTCTTATGAAAATATATATTTTATTCATCATACTCTGACTCATTAAATACCATTATATGTATAAAGAAAAATAATGACCTGACCAGTCTATAAACATTTTACATTTTAGCAATGCATTCAGGTTTCAGTAAATCCTTTTTTCCTTCAATTTTCTTTTAAGGACTACAAAATGTGTATCCTCTTTAATCCAGTTTTTCCTTCCACAGAACCTATATGAATCTATGAACTGGTCCAAGAAGTAACTGGATAATGTTCAGAATCAGAAAAAATAAACTTTATCGGCACAATTTTCTCTTGCTCAGCCATCTTCTTTGAGCTATATGAAGGGGAAAAGTAAATACTCTTGGCTAATCTCTACAATATTCTCTATAATTCCTATAATATGAGGAAGCTGTTCATATTTATCTCTTCTACAATGGCATTTTCTTAAATTCTCGTGCCTTATCAATGTATTTTGTGCAATAACACAGTAACTTTGGCTTTGATGCTTATTCTATATAAAAGGAAAAACATACTTTGATTTTGTGACCCTAGATCTCTTTCCTTTATTGATTTTCTTTTCTCAGTATGTAAGATATTGAGCAAACATTTTGGAGAAGATTCAGTGATTACCAATGCATACTCACGATAACAGCACTAAAGTAAATGGTTTACAGACAGTTATTAGCTACATAAATATATATCAATCTGTGGTAATTTAAGGCTTTACACTCTTGGTGGATTCTGTTACGCATTTTGAGCTACAATCACTGTCTAGCATAACCTGGAAGCACAACATCGAAATTCATGCTGTGGAATGATCATGTCGAGGAATATTCCGCTTGTTGAAGCTGTAAGAAGTACAAGTATATTTGTGGGAAAATTTTAAAAGCCAGTAACAATTAACACCCTGTTATGATGAAGGAACTGTGGAGGTGATTGAGAAGAGCAACTCAGAGAAAGCAAAAGCACTGGGTTTTCCTTTTATCGTCGTGTCATCCTGTGGTTACAAAATGTGGTGATGTCACTGCAAGCATACTGAGTACAAAAAAGGCAAAGCAACACTAACACTTGAGTGCTTCAGTCTCATTCCACATTACCAAAAGCAGAACTAAACATTTTTGATTTCAAATCCTAAATAAGATATTGTGTTAGTCAATTACATCTAAATATGAACCATATTACTGACATTCTGAGTAACTCATTATCATAATAATAATAATAATAATAATTAAAAAAAATAATAATAAATAAATAAATAAAATAATAATAATAATAATAGCAATAATAATAATAACAATAATAATTACAATAATAATAATAAATATAATAATAATAATAATAATAATAATAATAATAATAATAATAATAATAATAATAATAACAAAACAGATTGAAAAAAATAACAAGAAACACTGATATCCTCATATAGAAATTCTAATACCAAGAGGCACACTGAATAAGGCATACAAAGCAAAATATAAGAGTAATGTTTACTAAGTAGCTGCCCATTGTCTGTGGTTGTCAGTGTACAATTAAATCAAACAGTTAAAAGCATTAAAAATATAAGCACTAGTTAAAATGGCCATCTTTTATACAACCTATATAAACAGCATTTCATTATCTTCAGAGTTCCCTTGGCATATAACAAATTCACTTTTTTTGTTATCATATACATATTCATTGCAATCATGTATTGTTCCTAATCTTCTTCTGTTCAATAAAATATGAAAAGGCTATTCCTCTTAAAACAACTTAGAATTATTTGCTTAACAGCTTAACATGGCAACATCAAAATTCCTTACACATGTAATGCATTCTTTGCAACCTTACCAGTGGTAGGTAACTTTCTTAGGTCTTCTACATATTTCTTGATGATATAAAAGTCAAACCCAATCAATGGATTAACCTGTGACCTTGATGTATGAAATTATTACAGTCAGTGCATTCAATAACTACCAGAAAAATTGAAGAAGAATGCATAACAAAAACACCAGCTCAGAAAAAGATAATCATTGCACATGTAACACATCTAATGTACATAAAGCAAATGAAAAGGAAGAATAACAGAACAATGCACAAGATGTCAAGTGATCTCCCGATGAAGTAACAATGGAATAACAATAATGTGTACGGAATGACGGAAAGTGTGACACTGTTAAGGGGAAAACGTTTATGAGTGTGTAACTCCCTTGCGGGCCACAAGGAGATTTAGAACAGGGTGCTTCTTGATGTAGTCCACAGCTTTCTTGTGTGTCACCATTGTGAAGTCATAGCCGTTGCACTGGAGGATCTTGTCATGGACGCGGAGTCCAGCTCGTGCTGCGGCACTGCCATCGTGGACCTGGGAAAGATGACAATGGTATTGCATCTGGTACAAATACAACTCTTTTGTAAGACTCTGGTTCCTTTGCTATAGTATTACCCTTTTCCTCCTCATCCCTTTATTTTTCCTTTGGCTTTTTTCTTTACACTGAGAAAGCTTTTCACTTTTCTTCTTCCTTGCTTCCTTCTTCCTTATAAAATCCACTGGCTGGTTTCCTATATTCCACTCACATAACTCATACACTCAAATGCACTTTTTCCTTGACCCATTTGGCCTGGATGGCAAGAATATATGGCATGCATACAGCAATATTAGTTAGTTTATTGTCTTTACACACAGATGGCTCTACAAGTGCTTAGTAATCAAAGAGTCAGTTTTCAGTCCTATCTATCTCACTTTTTTACCCTTTTCCTTGATTTTTGGAAAGCTTTTTTTGTATTATCTTAGTCACTAATGCTATGACTTTTTTAAAAACAATCTAATAACTGTAATATTAATAATAATAATAACAAGACTATCAATAGTAATAGTATTAGAAAGAAAAACACATTTTCCCAGCATTTCAAATAATGGAGACCCTTTTCGACTGAGTGCATGTGCAGCCATATATATGTAACAAAATTCACAAAAAATTACAAGGGACAATACATAATTCTGCAGTCATGGGTTAAAATACTCACCTCTGTACAGTAAATGCCATTGTCTGTGTAGCCCTGTGGACTTTTCATGAAGTCCTGGTCTATTCCACCTCCAATCTTGAATCCGCATTTTAGGACCTTGAAGGGAGAATGGTGGCCATTTAAAGGACATGCAACAGTAGGTTGTTTGCATAATTTAATGTGCTCCACATGAGACAACAGTTTTTAAAAAATGGACAAAGAAAAATTAATATAAATAATCAAATAAATACATACACAAAATTACAATAAAGAAATTATGTCTTACAACACACAAAGGCATACAAATATACATGAATAACTTTTTATAAATACAAATACATACAGATAAAAAAGTAAATTTCATTGGAAAAACAAATCTGTATCTCACATACAAAGAAAAGCACAAAATAAAAATCACAAACACAAAAGAATATCTATATATTGTAAACACAAAAATATCTGTGTATATATACAATACATATTTACAATTCTTGGACATTACATCATTTTATAACATTTCAAGTGAAACTAAACTCGACTTCAGATGGTAGTATATTTAGGCTCAACATGCCACACATAAAAGGAAATAGTCAGAGCTGAGTGACAATTTTGAGAAGTGAAGTGAAGTGAAGTGAAGTGAAGAGAAGAGAAGAGAAGAAGAGAAGAGAGAGAAGAGAAGAAAGAGAGGAAAGAGAAGAGAAGAGAAGGAAGAGGAAGCAGGAAGGAAGGAAGGAAGGAAGGAAGGTAAGCAGGAAGGAAGGAAGGGAGGAAGGTAAGCAAGAAGGAAGGAAGGAAGGAAGGAAGGAAGGAAGGAAGGAAAGAAAGAAGGTAAGCAGGAAAGAAATAAGGTAAGCAGGAAGGAAATAAGGTAAGCAGGAAGGAAGAAGAGGAAGACGACAAAAAAGAAAAAGAAAAAAGGTATCAGCTGATCAATCTAATAAACAAACAAGGACCCCATAGAAGAACTCTGATATTTGGGAAACCTTGTCATACTTGGCCCTTCATCTTATAAACTGATCCTTAACTCCTCTCTACAACATTCCTTCTTTACAGTCATTCATTCTACCTATCTCCCTCTCTTATTAATTAGTTCATTTACTTTCTTGTTTTCTCTCTCCATCTTTATTATCAATTTTCTCTATTACTGTCTATCAAACATGTGCATTGAGCCCACTTTAGGCTGTGTGCACCAAACAATGCTTTGCTTGTTTTGGCCATTTGGCAGTAAA